TCCAGGCTCTGAGCCATCAGCACAGAGCCTGACGCGGGACTTGAACTCAAGAACTGCGATATCATGACCTGAGCCGAAGTCGGACGCTTAACCGACTGAGCCACCCAGGCGCCCCCAGAGGATGTTTTTTAAAACCAGCCCCAACACCGTCATCACATCTGACAAAATCAGTGATAATCCCTCAGTACTTTTTAGTCCCCAGTCCTTGTTTGATGGTCGCCAGCTGTCCAGGCATCCTCATCAAGGCCCTTGCGTGTTTCACAGTGGGAAGGCTAATTGGAAGGGGTCTTTGGAAGGGAAGGCTTTGGCTAAGGTTGAGGGGCACGGGTCCTCATGAGCTCCTGTTTGGTCTGTTTCAGGAACAAATGTGGTATCTGGGGCTGGCGGTCTGAGAAGATGGAAACCGTTAGCGGCTACGAGGCCAAGGCAGGAGAGGCTAGTGGTGGGGGCTGGGGTAGGAGACAAGGCCCAGGAACCCCACCCCTTCTCCATGTCCACCCATGTGGAAGAGAGACAGAGTAGCCCACAGGCTCTGGAGGCCCTGTGCGGTGATGGGAACTCAGTGGGGCCCGAGTGCCCAGGCCCTGCCGAGCACATAGGGGTCACCCCGGCACCAGCCCCGACCCAGGTTACCGAGATGAAATGAGCGTTTTCCCCTCGTTACTGAGTCCCCATGGTTCAGACCCTGCCGCCTCCTCCACTGTGGGGGGCGAGGTCCTGTCTGTCCCTGCAGAGAGGAGGGCCTGGGTTCTGTACTGGTGAGGCTGAGTGTGGGGGACAGGCTCTGAGCCCTCAGCTCTGCCTGTGTCCCCCCTGCTCCCCAGGTATACAGTGCCACCAACGTGGAGCTGGTGACACGCACTCGCACGGAGCACCTCTCTGATCAGGACAAGTCGAGGAGCAAAGGTAAACCCAGGTGCGCCTGCCTGTGGCCCAGTCACACCGTATGCCGGGGTCACCCTGCTCCGGGGTCAGGGCCGCAGAGTCCGCCACGAGCTGGGAGGCCTCCCCGTTCCCGTGTGCTCAGTCTCCCACCCGACAGAGGCTCCCAGGGTGGACGGTGCGGGGGGCAGTCGGGGGGCAGTGGCCCAAAGTCTCCTCACGGGCTCCCACCCCTTCTCAGGAGGGAAGACTCCATTCCAGTCCTTCCTCGGGATGGCCCAGCAGCACTCCTCTCACAGCGGGGTGAGCCGGGCCCAGGGGGCTGGGGGCCAAGGGCAGGGGGCCGTGACGCAGGGCCAGGCAGCCACCCTCCCGAGCACTAAGCCCAGTCCTGGGGCCCTCCCAGGCTCCTGTGCAGCAGGCCGCCAGCCCCACCAACCCCACAGCCATTTCCCCCAGTGAATACTTCGACCCCAACTTCAGCCTGGAGTCGAGGAACATCGGCCGCCCCATTGAGATGTCCAGCAAAGTGCAGAGGTGAGGTTGTGGGGCTGGCTTGGGGCCTTCCCTCAGGGACACGGATGCCGCCTGGTCCCCCGAGCCCCTTGTAGACTCCTGTCACACATGGGGCCCACCAGAGTGGGGGACCCACTCACTCAGCCAGCTTCCTTCTAGACTCTCCTCCTTGGGGGTAGGAGCCAGGTCTGTCTTAACCATGGTTGTTGGCAGAGGGCTTGGACCAGAGGATTGGTTGCTCTTCTTTGGTGAATGAGTGAGTGAGTTAGTGAGTGAATGAATGAGTGAATGAATGAGTGAATGAATGAATGGTTTTCTGTTCAACTGAATGAGCACCTCCTGGAGGCCAGCTTGTGGCCGAGGGGAAGGGCTCACAGCTCTACTGTCTCCCGGCTTTGTGGCCCCAGGAAACGTCTTCTCCTCCGAGAGTCTGTTCTCTTCCTCAGTAAAATACCAGTCACACTTAGCCACCTGCCCACAAGGGTGCTAAGAGGATCTCACGAGCCATGACGTAGAACTTGCGGTGAGCCCAGCACTGCCCTATGAACCACAGGCAGACTTAGCCACCGAGTGGTGGATTCGAACCCTGGTCGTCCTGACCTCTGGGCTTTGCTGGACCCAAAAGTGTGGCAAAGTGTGAGGTGCTGGCCAGCTGTGGGCTGGGGAGGAGGACCCGGCTGTGGACAAGGCCATGATTGAAGCCAGCAGCCCGGCCCTGCCCCCTCCATCCAGATGAGTTGAGCTGGCTCAAGCTGCCATAGGCCCCAGCCTGGGCCCAGGGTCTGGGTGCAGCTCGGGCGGTAGGGCCAAAGGACAGAAGCTCCTGGGGCAGGCAGGCGGGGGCAGCTGAGCAGACGAGAGGGCACCTCAGGCCCGGCAGAGGGTGTGAGTCAAGGCAGGTGTCCAGAGTGGGTGGGTCTTAGCAGAGGGGCCACCAGGAGTTCCTTGACTCGCGTCCTGTGCAGGTTCAAGGCAACACTGTGGCTGAGCGAGGAGCACCCACTGTCCCTGGGTGACCAGGTGACGCCCATCATTGACCTGATGGCTATCAGCAACGCTCACTTTGCCAAGCTGCGTGACTTCATCACCCTGCGCCTGCCCCCCGGCTTCCCGGTCAAGATTGGTGAGGGGCGGTCTGGGGCAGCCGGGGGTCTGGGGCAGCTCCCGGGGTGGTGCCGGCCTCTGGCTCAGGCTCGGCTGTCTCCTCGCAGAGATCCCCCTTTTCCACGTGCTCAACGCCCGCATCACCTTCAGCAACCTGTGTGGCTGTGACGAGCCCCTGAGCTCGGTGTGGGTGCCGGCCCCCAGCTCTGGCTCTGCCGTCACAGCTTCAGGTACCGCCGCGGGCGAGGGGGGCCGGCAGTGCTGCTCGCTGGTCTCTGAGCCCCGGGGCTGAGTGCTGCCCTTCTGCGCAGGGAGCCCTTTCCCGTGTGAGGTGGACCCCGCCGTGTTTGAGGTGCCCGAGGGGTACAGCGTGCTGGGCACGGAGCGCAGCGAGCCCCTTCGCGACGAGGATGACGCCCTGCTCCAGTTCGCCATCAGGCAGAGCCTGCTTGAGGCGGGCGCGGAGGCGGAGCAGGTGGGACACGGGCAGTGGCCAGACCCTGGGGGTGGGCAGGGGCGCCAGAGGTGACAGCTCTGGGCTCCGTCTGCTGCAGGTGACTGTCTGGGAGGCCCTGACCAACACCCGGCCCGGTGCCCACCCTCCTCCCCAAGCCGCCGCCTATGAGGAGCAGCTTCAGCTGGAGCGGTGAGGCCCGCTAGCACCTACTGGGACAGTATCTCGGCCTGCCCTGCCCCAAGGAGCCTGCCGGCCAGGGGGTCCTTGGCTGGTGGCGGTGGGTAGCGGGGAGGTGCTGGTCCCAGGACCCCATGCCCTCTCCGAGGCCACCCTCCAGAAGCAACATGGCCTGCCATCAAAGGCAGCATGAGGATGGGAGACACAGGGTCCCCTGCCTTCTCTCTTCTCTCCGGTCTCCCAGGTCCCAGCCACCTTGTCCTCCATAGCTATGTCCCAACACTTGGCCTTCTTCCCCAGCCTTAGCGCTCACTGGTCTGTTCTCCCCTCTCACGCCTTGCCTGGAAGGGCCCTCCAAGAGAGCCTCCGGATGTCCACAGAGCCCAATGGCCCAGAGTCCCCTCACAGGACACCCCCGGCCCCGGCCCCCCCAAGCTTTGAGGAGCAGCTTCGCCTGGCCCTGGAGTTGTCTTCGAGGGAGCAGGAGGAGCGGGAACGGCGGGGGCAGCAGGAGGAGGAAGACTTACAGAGGATCCTGCGGCTCTCGCTCACGGAGCACTGAGCACCGAGTACCCAGTCCCTGGGAGGGTTGTCTGGTCTTCTCCCCAACCTGCTTTTGTAACTTATTTATTTATAAACTCTCTGCTGCTAAGCTGCCGGCCCGGAGCCCTGGGTATGGGCTTGCATTGGAGACCAAGGTGGAAATAAAGAGACTTTCAGCAGCAGGCTTGTTCTGCTCAATGGGATGACAAAGCGGGGGAGGAGACATCGAGGGGAGACACTGTGGGCAATGGCCTCAGACCTGGGTTTGAATCCTGGCTGTGGCCCCCTTAGCTTCGCTGAGCCTGTTTCCCCAGCTGTAAAATGAGACCACTTCCCAGCCCCTGGGGCTGTTGGGAGGGTGAAGTGAACCAACAAACCAACATACGTCAAGTCCCTTACAGAGTATGTGCCTCACAAACGTCCGCTCCCTGTAGTCTTGTTCCACCTATTGGGGACCCAGGTTCCTCCTGCCACTTACTCGGGCTTTCCCAGAACCCACCCCTGCTCCTGTCAAGGAGGGGAAATGCTGGGCCTCCAGACTATTCCCAACCAACTGGGAGGAGGCCCCCTGCACCCCAGGCCTGGGTTCCTGCCTGTTCTATCTGAGCATGTTCTATCTGAGTGACTTTGGACAAGTCCCTTCCCAGGCTGCAGTGTGAGCCTGCTCAACTCTGCCCTGCTCACCTCCAAGGTGGCCCTGAGGATGGCCTGTGATCCTGCGATGGGTTAGTTCTAAGTTCTGCCTGGTTTCCCCCGAAGCTCTGCATGTCTCCCAATGATTGTGCAGAGAGTGGAAGCATGAGGGCCAGTCAGCAAGAAGAAATAATTTTGGGGTGCCCTCCAACTTAAGACCTACTATGTCTGATCCTCTCCGAGACCTGTGTCCCCAGTCCTGCCTCCCTAGGTGCCAATCTGGGTAACTGAACGGTTGAAGCCCAAAGCAGAACTCAGGTGACCTAGGTGGGCGGAGCCAGGAGGGCAGGGGCAGGGGCGCCTCCAAGAAGGAGGGACCGAACCCCGGAACCCCGGAACGAAGACTGCAAGTTGCCGGACCTCTGGCCACTTCCCTCCCAGTCGCCGCGCTCCGCACCTGCGCCCCGCCCCGGGCCCGCCTCCAAAGTGCTGGGGGGCGGGGGCGAGGCGGCCGAACCGAGGAGACGCAAAGGGAGGGGCGGCGGCTGCTCGGTGCTGGCTCCGCAGACCGGGTTGGACGCGGGCTGGACGCGCGTCTGGCCCTTTAAGGGCCGCCCCCGAGGAGGTGCCAGGCCCTGGTGGCTCCGGTCTCTCCTTCCTGGTCCTGCGGGGCAGGGACTGTCCGTGGGGCCGTGGTAGGGCACCGTACCCGGACGGGCCCAGGTGTGCCCGGCCTGGCCCCATGGCCCTGGTCACAGTGAGCCGCTCCCCTCCGGCCAGCGGCCACTCCACGCCTGTAGGGCCCACGGTAAGTCTGGCTTTGCCGTGCTCCGGCCCACGCAGTTGGCTGCCAGCTGGGCCCCGGGGAGCGCGTCCTGCCCACTGCCAGCCTCCCCTTGAGGCTGGGGGTGTGGGAAGGGGGACCCTAAGTGTCTCGCTGGAGGGGACTGGGAGGGGGTCTGGAGGCTCCCAAGAACTTAGACCAAGGCAAGATCCCCGAACACCAGCCCAGCCTGCGGAGGCCCTACCCTCTTCCAGGCCCAGATCTGGGCCAACCCCTTGGACACCTCCAGCACCCCCACCCACTCACCCCAGCTGCCCTACCTGGACCTTTGCCCAGGCTCCCCCCCCCACCCCTGCCTCCAGGTGGGGAGTGGACTGGGGTGGGAAGGGATCTGACATCTTTCCTGGTTCCAGTCTCCAGTTGGGGGGTGGGGCGATCCCACTCCCACCCCCCCACCCCCACAGCCTTGATAGCAGAGAGGAGAGTCCTTGCCACCCCCACCTCACTCTGCCCCGGGGGCTGCTTTCTCAGCAGGACCAGGCATCCAAGCGGAGAAGCCGGCTCCAGCGAAGGTGAGCACCTCTCCCGGACAGACAACTACCTCCAGCTGCCAGGCCTGGCCCCTGCCCTACTGGAAGACTCGGCCCGAACCAACTACTGCATATGTGGGGCAATGTTGCTGGTGGGCACAGGGGGCTTGCAGTGCTGACCGGGCTGCCTTTGCTTTTATCTTCCTCCCGGTCAGTCGGGGCTCCTCCACCACTATTCTGGACCCTGGCTCGGGCCAGTAGTCACAAGCCAAAGGGCAGGGATGGGACAGCAGAGCCCAAGGGCTCCTGGGTCCCCACCAAGTTTACAGCATCTCCTGAGATAGGGGGGAAGGGAAAGGGAGCAACCCTTGCCCTCCCCCCCCCCCTTAAACAAGTGGCTCGGGGGCTTGGCAGCCTCCAAGACAGTAGTTCCCCAAATGTGGTGGCCTCAGCACTTGGGAACTCCTTAGAAATGCACATTCTCAGGCCTCCACCCCAGACCTGTTGACTCCCCCGGGACGGGGCCCAACACTTGTTCTAACAAGCCCGGTGGGTGAATCTGATGCACGTCTGCCCTGAGGGGGATGACGGACGTAAAGTGGTTTCCCTGCTGCCCTGCCAGGCAGAGCTTTGCAGTGCTCCGTGGGGCTGTCCTGGGACTGCAGGACGAAGAGGACAATGGAGAAGCAGCTGACGCTGGCCCTGAGGCAGTGGAGGGACCCCTGGGGGAAGAACAGCCCCACAGCGACCAGACAGACGATGGGCAGGGGCCCCAGAGTCCCCAGAAGCAGCAGCAGAGTCAGCACCTGCACCTCATGGTGGAGCTGCTGAGGCCACAGGACGACATCCGCCTGGTGAGGGGCCGCGGAGCCCTCAGAGAAGCGGAGAGAGCCAGCTTTTGAGGGGTGGGGGGGGGGGGAGGCGAGGGTAGAAGGGAGCCAGTGTGTGTGTCTGCTGGGGAGCAGTGGTATGAGGGCAAGTAATACGGATCCCCCAAACCCTGATGAGCCTCCCGGTTCAGCTAGTTGCTTAAACAGGGCACGATCACATCTTCAGGTCTCTGGAGGAGCGGGAAATGATGGGGGTCTGCCCTGCATGAGCCTGTAAGGCCCGATCGGGTCCAAGAGCTGGGAATTACACGGAGGTGGGGTTCTGTGCAACCAGCACAGGACCTTCCTGACCCCATGAGTTGTGCGCACACCTCAGGCCTGGCCGGCCGCTCCGGAGGGCCTGCTGAGCTGGAGGGGCGCCAGGCGGGGTGGGGCACTGGTGGGAGCCCGTGGACCAGTTCCCAGATGCCTGTGGGGCATCTCACTGTCTGCAGCAAGATGGGAAAAACAAAATGGAGGCAGTCTTTCCGAAAGCTGAATTTATTCCACGGAAGCACTGTCCTTTGTTATGAGATTGTGTCTTTAGTATTTCTTTGATGAGAAACCTTTCTTGAATCAAATGATGGTAATGGCAAGTAGAAAAGGTTTTTGGGTTTTTTTTTAAACCTCTTTCCTGGGCAGAAATTGAAAATGGGCAATGGGTGCTAGGCCCATTCTCCCCTTTTTTCCATACATACCCCCTTTGCGAAAAAAATTTTTTTTTTTATTAAAAAAAATTTTTTTTAATGTTTTACTTATTTTTGAGACAGAGAG